ATTATGATGCCATTAACATTACCAACTTGCTTAATAATCAATTAATAAAACATCGTCTGTATGTAATTGCAATAAAACAGCTAACTGAAATACCTCATAACATAGATAATATAAGTGTGGCTCTAGTCACGGAACTACAACAACGTAGACCGGACCATCTAACAGTTTATACAACTCCAAACTACAAGTACTAACAGAAAGTGTCATGGACAATCCCCATGCTCACTCAATTAAGGCAACATGCCCAACATCAGTCTCAACAACATCATATCATAAATAGCGGAAAACATAAACAGCATCCAAATCCAGTCATGCTAACAAATAAGCAGAAACAACAAAATCAGCTAAGCTCCGGCCTCCTGCCGCCTGAGGCATCAGTACCCATACTACCTGATCCTGAAATAAGCATTCCCCAAACGTGGGGTAAGATCTCTAATCTAGAAATCTCAGTAAGTCAGTGAGTCCTCAAGGATCTTCCACCCCAAGCTCACTTACATGTGCAATATAAGTTCAAAAGCAGTTTATCATTTATCATTCCAAAAACAATGCAATGCAGCAGATAATCATGTCATGTGTGTCAATACTAATCTACTGGCCAGAGACAGTGCAGGTATACGTCTATCACCTACACACCGTGCAAGTACCACTTGCATTCACCCCAGTACACCATCTTGTATGGCGCTACATACTCAGGCTTCCCGTCAAGATGAAACAACACATGCATATTAAAAGCCATTACATGTAAAGTTCAATCAACATATCAAATATCCAAAAGCATGTACACAGCATGCATAAACCATACCCCCATGGGACATGTGGAACCACAACATGGCTAAACCGAGGACACGAAAGCTTACCTTGCAAGCTAACTCCAAAAGCCAAGAGTCCACAGCTCAAAGTCCAAACACAGCAGATTCACAATCTGTTATGGACCAATACTATATCAATAATAATGCAACACAAGCATATAACTTAAAGACAACGCCTTTCCTTACGTTTTACGTCTTAAGGCTCCATATCAAGCCATAAGTCCTTAATCACTTAATTCTGACTTAGTTCATTAATTACAGAAGTTCAACTTCATCAATCTAGGGTCCACAAACCCTCAATAGCCTACTGTACACACAGCACAGCTACTGTTCTACGAAATCCTAGAATATCCGGATATTCCTCGGGACCATATCCGGATATGCAATATCCGGATATCTCACTGGACGTATCCGGATATGCAATATCCGGATATCCATAATCCCATATCCGGATACCTAGTATCCGGATACACAAAACCCATATCCGGATATCACATATCCGAATATCACATATCCGAATATTCATCGGGCACATATCCGGATATTTCACGACAGAATGCAGAAAATGCATTTCGTGAAGATATCCTTCCAAGGTTGGGTTTTTAACGATTTAAAGCACCTAAACATGCATTTCTAGGTGTGTTCAACATTACCCCACAACAAGTTATCATCTTTACGCCTTAACATGCATCAAGCTTTCATTTTTAAGCATTAAACTCATGATCAAAGGTTGGTATACATACCAAAGGCTTAAAACAGAGAAAGGAGATGCTCTTGGAGCTCAACACAGCCCCTCAAGTATGACTCAAGGAAGATGCACGAAAATGCTACCAAAGCTTGGCCATTTCCACACAAAGGAAGCTCCTTGGAGCGTCACAAGCCAAGAGCAAGACTCTCACCACCTCAACTCAAGAGGACAGCCCCTCCAACACTCACAAACAGCAACCCCAACACAGAACAGGGTCAACAACACAGCCCCAAAGCTACTCTCACCCCATACCAAGTGTTTAGGAGAAGGATTTGAGAAGGAAGTTGCCTCAAAGCTCAAGAAATGGAAGAGGAACACAATGGAACAGTACTCAGCAGTTGGCCAGCCCCAAGACTCACGTAGCAAAAGAAAACCTAGGGCTTTGTGCCCTTAACAAGGGTATTTATAGCCACTTACCCAATTAACACACAGTATTAAATTTAATTTCTACGCTTAGCATTTTAATCCCAAACTTTGGATTATGAAACTACATAATTTTCTAAGATTTATCATATTTTTCTTATAATTTTCTGAGCACTTTTCCGGTACGCGCTTTTCCAAGCCAGTACCGGTTTCCAGCACCAGTTCTCATTATCTGGACTAGAAACTTGTTTTACAAGTCCTATATATTATTCTAGTAATTATCATGCACTTACATTAATTTTCCGGGATACTTTTTCGGCACGCATTTATACCGACTAGCAGAACCGGTATCTGTACTTTTCTTCCGAAAAGCGACTTTCAGCATTCTTAATCACTTATTACGATTATTAAGCCTCATAAATAATTATTAGGGTCAATTATGGAATCATTTCATATTTTCTCGTAATTTATTAATTAAATACCTTAATTAACGGTGCGGGTTCTTACAAAACCCATGATTTATATATTACCGTTCTGTCTGTCTGAGTACACCCCTATTTGAATTGTATATAATTTTAATAAAGTATTGATTTTTGATTTGCTCATATAAACTGATTTGAATTTGAAAGTTTAATTTTTATTCATACACTTTCAATTAATTATAATTTTTATATGTTGCTAAGTGTCGCTTGGTATAATTCTTGTTATTTGTCACTGGATTGCATTGCAACTCGTGGTTATATATTTTAAAAAGGCAAGGAGATAGCCTCTCAGTCCACACATCCAATTTTATCAAGTAGGTCTTATTGTTTCTTAGTGGTGAGCCTGACACTTTATTCGTGTGAGCAAAAGTTTAAATGATAAACTGTTATTATATACTTTGAACATATAGGGACGAGATCATTTGACTTCTCATCTGAAAGTCGTTGATTTTACCTTGATCTAACGACTATGATTTGTAAGCATGTGACACTATTGATATGTCTTGATCTAACGACTCTCGAATAAGGTGTTAAACTTTTTATTTGACACCGGTATCAAATAATTCTCATATATATATATATATATATTGATTTGAGTTATTATTGTTAAATATATCGTTGAGACTTGAGATAATTAGGTTTGTCAGACTATTTGATGATAGTATGTGCGCTGATAATGACTCGAAATTTGGTTCGTGACAATTAATTAACCCCTTACTCTTATGATAGAAAGTTAATAAATTTTGTCAATTTATATATAAATTTAGAAAATATTTTGTTTTTCTTATTTTGGTGATCCGATGAGGTATCTCCATTCAATCACTTTTAGAAACCTTGCCTTTAGAGTATGGTCGTAGAGCTAACTCCTCATTGAAAGAAAGAGTATATAAAATTGAAGGTAAGGTGAGACTAATATCCTACGAGACTTGGAGCACAAATGTTTCGCTCTAGTCCTAAAATCTTTCCAAGGATGTAAAGAACCTTAGGATACACCACCCAAAAAGCTAGCTCAAAGGGTGGGAGTGTCCAAGGCCTTATAAAGGTCACATTAGTTGCCCACACAATCAATGTGAGACTATATATCTCAACACACTCCCTCACGCAAGAGCCCTTTGGGCTAGAAGCGTGGAATTGCACAGGCCCAATTTTTCATAACCGTTGATTTGCGAAAATCAACGGTATTAAGATATGGTTGTAAGAGGTTGTAAAAAAAAAAGTTGTAAGTATAACCTTCCTCATAAAAAAACATAATTATGAAGAAAAAAAGTGAACATTTGAAAATTAAAATTAAAATAATGTAGAATTAAATGTCATCTTAATCAATTTATTACCCAATTTGTCTTGTTTATATATCATTCAACTTTTAATGAATTATAATATAAATTTTTTGTTCAAGACAATAAATGATATTTAAAAAAATATATATCACACCCCTCATTAAAAATTCCAGTCAAATCATCAAGAAAATTTCTTCAGTGTTACGGAAGCAGAGTTTCGATGCATCTTTTACTCACAACAATATGACATGTGTCTTATTTTTGTCAAATTATTAATAAATAATTTATTTTAAAATCATGTGAGAGAATGATTTGACAAAAAATAAAACACGTGTCATATTATGAATGAAAAATACATCAAAAACTCAGTATACATGTCGTACCAAAGATATTCTCCAAGGTTAGGTTTTCCACTGTATAAATCCAGCGGGCTAAAACCAGTGTCCATTCAAGAGACAAATTAAAGGCATATTTCTTTTATTCAGCCTTTTATTCCTTTGTTCAACTTTTAATTAATATAATGTAATAAATTTTTTATTCACCACAATAAATGGTTTTTAAAAGTCAAGACCATCTTACCTCTCTCATAAAAAAAACGCCAGGATTTCACCCAAAAAAATAAAAACACCAGGATTAGCTTTTCCCCATTATAAATTGAGCACGATGAAACCAATGTCCATTCATAAGCAAAGTAGAAAATTCAAGCATCTATTCATTTATTCAAGGAGAGAGAATGGAGCACGGAGGATCTTCCTTTCACCATGGCAAGCCTGAAAATTCAATCTCTAGTAAGCACTCCAAAAAACAAAAAAGTGTTAAATATATGGCTTTTCATTTTCAATGTTCATACATAAAAGTTTTTATCTTTTTTTTCTGATGAGCAAAGATCGTTATTAGATTCTTCAAGTACAGTATATTTTCTCTAGGCTATGAATGCTTCTCTCTGAGTGTGTGTGTGTGTGTGAAACTTAACAAATATTTCGTTTATGCCAAATATGTTAAATATGTTAAACATTAGCTGTTTGCATGTCTTGTTTTTTCATTGCATGAAAAATACATGTGCTAAATAAATATTTGTACTACAATTATTTGCAACAAAGGTAAAAATGATTACAAAACTGTGGGGTGTTTTTTAGATTCAAAGCAGTTACAGCAGAAGGAAGGAGATTCTTCAAGAAACAACCAGCAGCAGGTGGTGCAAGTTGCAGCAGCTCCACGACAAGAAATTCGAAAACAAAACATGCCAATGTCCAACGTGCTAAGAATCGTGCGCCGAGGACTTCCAACACATTCAAAAATCACTGATGAATCAAAGTTAACAATGGTAGAGTGTGCGACTGAGTTCATTAGCTTCATCACTTCAGAGGCTAAAATCCGATGCCAACGCGACCTACGTATAACTCTTACCGCAGAAGATTTGTTATGTGCTATGCAGAGGTTAGGTTTCCATAATTATGCTGATCCTCTCAATCTTTACCTTCGTCGCTATCGTCTCAATGCAGCTGCACAGCATGGTAGCAACATTCCTGCACAGCCAACAATTGCAAATGATAATGTTCCACCACCACCACCACCACTGCCACCTTCTCTTACTCCTACTTTCCCAATCACTCCAAACCCACCATATCCAAATCCAATGGAAATGGGTGGGTTATTACATACAAACCCATATCAAGATCCAATGCAAATGGGTGGGATGCATACAAACCAATCTTTAGACCAAATGCAAATGAATATTGCTCCAAACCCATATCCAAACCAGATGCAAATGGGTATCGCTCCAAACCCATATCCAGATCCAAGGGAAATGGGTATTGCTTCAAACACATATCCAAACCAAATGCAAATGGGTATTGCTCCAAACCCAAGTGAAATGGGTATTGTTCCAAACTCATATTCTGACCTAATGCAAATGGGTATTGCTCCAAACCCAAGTGAAATGGATATTGTACCAAACTCATATTCTGACCTAATGCAAATGGGTATTGTAGAACCAAACTCATTTTCTGACCTAATGCAAATGGGTACTATTGCTCCAAACCCATATCCAGACCCAAGGGAAATTGGTATGACTCCAAACCCGTATCAAGACCCAGTGCAAATGGGTAACGCTCCAAACCCATATCCTGACCCAAATGAAATGGGTGGGTTACACAGAGATGATGAGTCAGAAGGCGGTGACAATGTTTACTTTGATCCTATTGCTTTCCTTAATCGTGACAAATTCTTAAGTGACTGAGATGGTAGAAGAACGAAGTAATGCATATGTAGAACAATGATCCAAAATAAATAAATAAATAAAATAAATGTTGTGTTTACTTCTTGAATAAATAATGATTCTTGATTTTGCAAAAGGTAGCCAAATTTGAAGATACTTATAAGGAAACTAATTTAGTGTTTCATTTAAAATGGGCCCACGATATTTAATACTAAATTAAACAACATGTGCTTTTGATGGGAAGACCCTTTTTTTTTTCATCTAGCAATTTATAAAAAATTCAAGTAATTGGGTTCGGGTTTCGTTGGATGTACAAGGGACATCTTTTCTAACACCATTTTTTTTTTCATTTATTGAACTAATTAAGTTATGTTTATATATGGATTATGGCTAAATCCCTTTTTCACTCCATTAACTTTTGTATTATGACTCTTCAGCTTGCTCCACTATTAATCCACTTAAGAAAGAGTAGAAATTATAATGGAAGATTTTATTTTATTTTTTGGAAATATAATTGTTTACAAAAATTGCTTAATACCGTCATGATTTGATAAGCACACAACCTATATTTTATATTTGGTGTTTTAATTTCGAGCATTGATGAACTCTTTATCAATTTTGATTCATTTAATATAAATAACAACTTAACTGATCATTCAATTGACTAAAGAAGTTAAAGTATGGAAGAAAAGAATATATCAACAATTAATAAAAAATTGAATTTTACATAAACATCCTTTCATGTTCACATAGAATTCAATGGAAATAAATATGATAAAATCAAAAAAAAAATTAATTTTTTTTATGGTTAGTCCTAAAGATTTCTTATTAACGATCCACAACAATTCTACCAATCAAAGCAACTAAAAGAATTCTTGAAATTAGTTAAAATAGAAGACAAAATAGATTGTGAGTGAAGTTTTAATTTATTGACAAGTACTTATCAAATCTTGCTCTATATTAAAATTTGATCTTGTAGTACAAATAATCTAGCACCATGATGTAACTCGAATGGTAGTTATTAGTGAAACAAAAATGGTTGTACAAATCACCAAAGTAATTCCATCCCCAATGGTCCAAGGATGAAAATCTTAGTAATATATATTTTGAAACATTCATGAACATAACAACAAATATGATTTAAAATTTATCGCTTTCACATAAACGTACCTCAAATATAAATATAAAACATTTAATTAACTGCCATAAGCAGCCCAAATTAACCTTGACAGGAATTATGAACAGAGAATGCTTAATTAACAACTTTAAACAGCCCCAACAAGTGTTGTACAACAATTACAAGCAAGTAAAAATTCTCAACAAGATCAAGATCTAGGGTTTAGTTAACTCATATATATATTTTTTTTTTGGTAAATTGTTAACTCATATTTCAACAGTCTACATGCATTCGACAAATTAATAAAGAATGAACCACCGTTATTTAGTGAGATTAACATGTTAGAATTTTTTTGATAATTTTCATAAACTATAATCAATTGTGATTTTTTATTTTGAAAAAAGTAGTCAAATTTGAAAATACTTATAAGGAAACTAATTTAATGATTCATTTATAATGGGCCCACCATATTTAATACGTAAGTGATATAGTTTAATAATTATAAAATTCACCCATTTGACTTGTGTTTTTTAGTGTAAGATCCATTTTTATTTATCTAGCAATTTATAAAAAATTTAATTAATTCAATTCGAGTTCTGTTGAATGTATACGGATAACTCTTCTAATACCATTTTAATAGAAGATATAATTTTTTTATACAAATTGCTTAATATCATCGTGATATGATAAGTGGTGTTTTTGGGCATCATTGATTAACTACTTATCAATTTTGATTCATTTCAATATAAATAAATAGCAATTCAACTGATTCATTTACCTAAAGAATATAATAAGTCTGGAACAGAAAAATATATCAACAATCAATAAAAAATGATTTTTGACACAAATGTGAGAAATAAAAAATTTGAAAAAAAAAAATCAATGAAAATAAATACGAGAAAATCAAACAAAATTGAATTTTTATTTATATTCCTAATTTTAAAGATTTGTTAGTGATGAGCCAATACTACAAAAAAATCGGTGTTTAGCCACGTATAGAAACGTGGCTCATTGGCGCAAAAAATGTGGCCAAATAAAGCAACCACACTTTTAATGAATGTGGCTAATCATGGCGTTGCAAAATTTTAGCTACATTTTTTGTTTTATATAGCCACACTCTCTGTGAATGTGGTAGCATTTATTTCGCCACGTTTATTATTATTTAGCCACTTGAAGGGCCGTAGCTAATTACTATAAAAAATTCATATCCTTATTTAGGCACATCCTAACCGTGGCTAATATACAGTTATTTTTAAAAAAAAAATTAATAGCCAAACCTGGCTATTTTTTTAATTTGCTAATATTGTTCAATTGTGAACCTGGTAAAACCAAATCTCAAATTGAATTTTCATGCAATCAATTTTCTCAAAAATATAAATAAGATACATAAATTTTACTTTATTATAATCTAAATAAATTGGCCTTCAAACTAAATCTTCTAATATTAACCTGGCTATTTTTAGAATATTATAAAAGTCAAATTTAAGATCTTGCTAAATAAACTGAATCGTGTGCCTTCAATTTCCTTCCTCTATTATCTGAATACTATAATTAAACTCATAGATTAGTTGTCTCAAATCTGCATGCTAAATAAAACCATAAAAATGAAACAAAAATTTTTTAATTAAAAATTGAGATATTTACCGTAGCAATGCATTACTAACTCATCACAAGCATACTATGCAATGAATAGTATTTCCTATCTTATGAGTCATCACAGTGACAGTCTGACAAACACTAAGTTGAAAACAAAATATTCATAGTTGGCATACATAATCAGATTTTCCTAATATACTAGGACAATTGCCTGGTTAAAGTAGAGATAAACTAGCTTATCTACCAACTGCCACTACAGGTTGAAAAGGATTGAGAAGAATAGCACTTTGTACAATAGCTCCACTTCTTCAGAAGCCTCGTGTAAATAATCAAGTTGAATTGGCAAGAAGATAATTTTAGATGGCCATGAATTAGCATACGAAAAAAAAAAATTGTCCCGCTCTTATTCCACATATCAAATATAAAGAGTTCCATGTTGCAGGAAAAATCTATGTACAATGAACCCACTTACTGAATATCAAGGGCCTATATCCTGATGGTTTGAATACAAACCGGACTGAGAATGCATCAGTTCCCTATACAAGAAGAATTTATAACAAGTTAGGAAAAAGAAAGCTTAATTGATGAACCAACAGTTTCTAATTTATCTGAGAAGAGCTAGCACAAAGAAAATGTATAGTTATGTTGTCTTAAGAGAAGTTCCCACGACACTACTATCAAGAAAATTTAACTTTGCTTGACAAATTCACAAATTATGCAGTATGAACTAAAAACCATGATAAAATTATTGGAGTGATACACAAATTTAAGAAACTTTACTAGGAGTAACTCTTTCTCCAGAAATATTAAAGGAGCACACAAACATAAACAAACTTTATGTTAGTATTACAGAGTGACTTCCTTATCAAACTTTATGCTATCAGGCAAGCCAAGCATATCAACCTTGTCCAATTATCCCTTGGAAAACCGAGAATACACTCTTCTTCTGAGTCCATATCTCTTCCTCTTCCGAAACTTCTTCTTGGAGGAACTCAACCTCCGTCCCACACACCCTTGAGTCGTTGACACACATGCCCCCATAACATAAATATCTCTGCCTCAGATCACACTGATATACACAAGAACATATAGAGGTTGGTTAAACAAAAGACAAGAACATTAAAAAAGAAAAAAGACACAAACCTTCTAACAACCTTTTGTTTAAATTGTTGAAGTTTGTAGAAAGAAGTTCAAATTTTTTTTGCACCCATCATAATGAAGTCCATTAATAACATAATAAATATTTTGAATAAACTTTCGTAACATAACTTGGAACAAAAAAATAAAATTACATCTATTTATTATTCCTCGAAAAACATGTACCCAGAAAACAAAATTTGATGAAATTTTGAACTTTATCTCCTTTTGTTCAATTAAAGAAAAAACATCATTTTCAGGTAGTTGTTAAATTTTGTATTTATTAATTATTGTGTTTTTATTGCAGCTGTTACTGATATCGACACTAGTGGCATCCAAGCCTTTGAAGAGTTACACGGAAGTCTTACGAAGAGAAGTGTTGAGGTAACCAAATTATATATATATATATATATATATATATATATATGCATGATTGATTAGAAAACAATTCAAACTGATATTATGTGACAAGTACCTTAACAAAAGTAGTTCCTTGTTTGCACAGCTTGTTCTGGCAAATCCTGGCCCGGCAGTGATAGACAAGCTTTACACATCCAATTTTGCGAAGTCAGATTGGCGAGGACAAGAACTTCCTCACAGTTGCAGAGGCTGTTGCATACTGTTCTCCAATCCTGGTTGAGTTTCCATGAAAAATCTAAATTTCCCACCTTCAGGAGAGAAAAATGGGATGCATACACTGAGTCTAATTGACTTTCCAATAGAGACAAGATTTGTTTGAATTCACACAAAAGTACTACAGGGCAGACGAAGCTACATTTCCAAACTTCACCACGTGGTTGCTATCCTCCAAACCACAAACCTTAAGCTAACCAACAAATAGATTGAGCTTTGATTTTCTCAAAACACTGCATTAAAACTACAAACTCCAGAATGCCCTGCAGTAACCCATTTTAACCCAGATACATACTTCCGAATAAGCACAGGATCTAAGGCTCTATGTAATAGTTCCATTCCCAGAGTTTACAAAAGGACAGATGCAAGCTTTTACACAGTCCACACACATTGATAAAGGTTGATCCAGATCTAACTCTTTTTTAGAAATCAAATCCTAAACATCTAATTAAAATTGGCTAGGTTCTAATCGAATTTAACAAGTGAGCATTTCATGAATCAAATGAAAACAGATTAATACATTGCAATCTAGTAGCATAATCCTGAACACAGCATTTCGAAGTACACTCTCTAATCAATCCTACAAATATTTAGCTCATGATAGCAAACAAAATTGAAATTAAAAGGAACATATTGTATTTCACAAGTTGCTCAAACAAAGTAAAGAAGATCCATTACATAACAGGAACCTGAACTAACAGAACATATATATATATATATATATATATATATATATATATATATATAACCACGTTAGCAGAATTGCTTTAGGGGGTAAAATACTACCGAATTGGGATTAGTCCATTTTCATCAAACTTGGAGACGCTATGGTCACTTGAATTGAAGCTTAGGGGATAAAATACTACTGAATTTCCCTATTTGAACTTCCCAAAACCAATACAGCATATCCATACAGATTTGACCAACAACGACTCAGGGAACCATCAAACTGAGAGATGTGTTAATATATGCATTGATTTCTTTTATATTACTCGAGGGAGACAGTGTATGATACACGACTAAATTGCCTTGATTTAAGAATCTTGCAGCATTCCTTGTTTTTATCTTTGTATGCTTAAACATGATAATGTGGTTGAGCTTAAGGCATATTACTATTCTAAAGATGAGAAATTGATGGTATATGATTACTACAGTCAGGGGAGTGTCTCTGCTTTGTTGCATGATATGTAGCATGAATTATTTTTCCTACAAATCATTTTTAAAATAATTATTGATACTCAATTGTTTAGGATCTTTCCCTATTTGGCACATGGATGTGGCTGTTGCTTCTTGACTTTGAGTGTATCATCCGTGGCAGCATTCAAAGGAAAGGTTGCTTATATGTTTGGTATATTAAATTAAACAACTCAAAATGTTGTCTCAAAATTCAGCTATGACAAAATTCAATGTAGAGCATAAGATTTGAAGTTTGAAATATAGACTGTACATACATACAACACACCTCATAACTATACTGTCTTTGTTTGAACACTACTGCTTTGTGAAATTTTCAGGTAAAAGAGGAGAGGAAAGGGTGGCTTTAGATTGGGATACTAGAATCAAAATAGCTTTGCTCATATCCATTCGGAGAATGGTGGGAAACTTTTACATGGCAATATCAGATCCTCAAATATCTTTCTCAACACTAAACAGTATGGTTGTGTATCTGATCTTGGCCTAGCAAACATAATGAAATGTAATAAGCTTGACATGAGAGGAACTTAATGCTCCCAATTATTATGCCTCTATTGGAGCAACCGAGCAAGACGAAGATGATGATAACATGAATTTTTAAAGAACCATGAATAAAATTCTGAAGAATAAAATTCAGAGAAAAAAGTTAGATAGTAAATTAAAAAAAACAACTAAATCAAATCAAATTGATACCTGTTGGCATGAAATGTAATAAACTTTGACGTATGAGATTAATAACAAAAGCTCCGGAAGAAGAAAAAATAAAACGAACAAGCAAAACCCTAGATTAAAAAAAGGGAGTAAAACACTATAAAATTCATGAATCTGTGCATATCGTGCATAGATCGAAAAGATTAAGAGTCACCTTGGCACTGAGAGCTTCACATTTGGTGGAATCTAGAAGAAAATTGACGATGTAATGCCTTGCTTGAACAAATAAATCTTCAAGATCTGAAGCTCAAACTTAAAGAAGGAAGTGAGTTTCAAAGATTTTGTTGAACATTCTTCCAAAATTGCTTGAACGATTCAAAGATTTTAGACAAAGAGGGGTTTTCTCATACGAATAGAATGATTTACTATGCATAGGAAACAAATAGAGAGAGGGAAATAAAATAATTAAAAACAATTAGCCATACTTAAAATAATGTTGTAAATGGGGGTATATTTGTACTTTTACCATCATGCTAATAAATGTGGTTAACTGGATGTCGCAGTACACCGTGTTTTTTGTAGTGTGTTAGTGATTATATAATTATTGCAAACAGCAAAAGTTTTGTGAAACTTGGCGAGTGAGGGTTATCGTACTCTTTTACCCCAATTACGCAATAATTAATGCATAATGGTATCAACATTTGGTCTTGTGAGAAAGATTAGATAATAGCTATCTATGTGAAACAATCTCGAGTTAAGGGATTAGGAAGTGAAAATAATGAAAAAGGAATAAAACATATATTTTATGTAAAATCAAACTTAAAATAATAATAATAAAGTCATATTAATTTTCTTGCATAAACAGACCTACTTTTGTGTTCTGACTGAGGACCCATGAAACACACAAAGAGGATATTGATTATCAACTATCAAGTTCTTGGTCTATTGCATGCGTTTGTTGTTAGCTATGTTTTTTTTTTTTTTTTTTGGAAATAAAGCTATGTTTCAAATAGATATTGCTGTCCATGTCTGGCAATCTGCAATTGATTCCGCTCAAAAACAACTTTGAACCCTTTTTCAGGTGAATATCTTTTTTTTTGGATAAAAGGAAAGGTTACAACAAAGAAGAATATCTCTTTCCTCGGAAATATTTTCAGTGCTATGATAATATCGAGTACTGGTACATCATTTTAATTATGACAAAAAATTATGTTTATATTATCCTCACTTTTATTATATTCTTTTTTCTTTTTCTTTTTTGGTAAAGGGATAAATAATATTCCCGTAGCACCCAAAATGTGTTCTCTATCCGGTGGATAAGAAAAAAGGAAAAGTTTCCATTAATATCCAACAATGTAAACTATATCACACCAGCACCACAAACTCTTTATTACTAAATTGAGAATGCATTATTGGACAAAGCAACTTGGAGCAATTGGTAAAAATCTTTGTGCGCCTCTATATCGTGAAAGGAATTAATTTCATTTAAATATATGGAACATTTCGGAAACCAAATAATAATTTTTAAATAGCGCAGTAAGTTTTTTCTATTTAAATTTTATTTACTAATCCCTTTTCCAACTAATCTAAATATTACTCTCACATATAAAATTGTATAATAGACTAATAGTTATATAATTTAAAATTGAATAAAATGCACTTTACGGTTTTAATAAATGTTTAAGTTGCATTAATTTTTTAAGTATTTTTAAAAATTACATTCCTCTTCTTTGAAAGATAAAAAGTTATATTTTAAGGTAAATAAATCCTCTTAATAGTGATGAGTAGTTATGAACGAGTTTCCTAGAGATAATTTCTTCTTTAGTGACTCTCACCTGTTTATTTTTTAACACTCCAACTATTGATTATTTTGTTAGGAATATGGCTTCCATACTCAAAATGGGTGAATTGAGTATTACAAGATTTTTGCAAAAGTTCCCTTCTAATTTCTAAATAATCATTTCAAGCAAACTTTGATATGTGGAAAGCTAATCAATACATTCAGACAATCCATAATATATAATATATCAAAATTATAGAACTTATACTAGTACATACAAGACATCAAAGAAGCAATTAAAGTGCTAGAAATAAAGAGTTTAGAGTTTAGAGAATTGCAAACACAATATATCCTGGTTCGGTCACCACCAGTTGTGATCTACGTCCAGACTGAAGCCGCTCGATCAACTCTTTCACTAATGGTCAAGCTTCACGGGTGTTTGACAAACCTTTACAATCTTTCAAGACTTCGGTTTCTTGGATACGTTACAATCTCCAAGTTTACGGGTACTTGACAACCTTACAATTCACTCCAAATTTACTTAGGTATTTGGTTACCTCTCAAGCAATGGGTTCAACTCAAGAATACAAGGAGGAAAATATTTGGAAATGAATATACACTCTCAAAGTGTGGATATACAACTTGAAGCACTATGGGTATATGGATTTTCAAGATATGAGCTCAAATATATTTGATCTTTAAAAGATATGAAATAATATGCAAATGATAGTGTAGAAGCTCTCAAATCATCCTTAAGGTGTGTAGGAATAGTGATCAAAATGTTGTAGGGTCATAAGGAATGTATTTATAGTGATTTTTAGCAAAACTAGTTGTTTATAGCCGTTATAGGCTTTCTGTTGCAGGGGGAATTGATTCCCATACTTAGGGAATCGATTCCCAACCTTTCCAGGAAGAGGGAATCGATTCTCACATGTGGTAATCGATTTCCTAGTTAGGGAATCGATTCTCATATTCAGGGAATCGATTCCCAACCTGTTGGAAGGCTGGAAATTCGACAACAATAATATTGTTTCGTATTTTGAGCATAACTTGAGTTATTCTTGTCAGGTTGATGTGATCTTGGTCTCGTTGGAAAGATAAAGGAAAAATCTACAACCTCTATGAATAACACAAGATCCAAATCCATCATCTTGGATACGAAAAATTTTATGGAAGGCAGCAGCAAAATTATGCAGTAAATTTTAAGTTCAAATGTGTTCTAACTTGCTTCCAACCATTTTTTATGAAAGATCTTGACTTTACAAATATGTTTTGAAGTTATAAAACATGTCAATGATCTTTTCCATGGGTTTTTCAAATTTCTTTCAAGTATATAAGTGTTATGATTATGCAATTCGAAAAACATGTTTACTTTGAGAAAAACTTTGAGCTCATGCAATACAATCTACCATATACCCTCACATATATTCTAAGTCCTAAAGATATATTCTAAATATTATTTTAGACTTAGCTTTATGTCTTGTGTCTTGGATCTTTACTTAAGCTTGATGCTTTGACTTGTTGGATATGACAATGCTTGACACTTTGCTGGTTTTGATCATTTTTTACCATGATTATGATATTGAGTTTCACTTAGATGTTGTCCATAGTTTGTTGTATTTGATCTTAGTGTTACTCTTCTAATTATTCCTTATTGCTCTTGATCCAATGATCTTGCCACTTTGATATACATTACTCTTCTTGTGTGACTGCATCATACATTTTTAATATCCACATATGGTTGATGTTTTTTGCTCTTGATCAATGCGCTCTTCCCTTTTTTTTGTTGTCACTTTGTTATCATCAAAAGATATCTTGTATCTACATATTTAACTTTAGATGAAATGAGGTTTTGAACATCGATGTATTTTAAACTTCACCAAAATCTTCAATTTATTATTAAGTTCTAAAGTCGATACTAAGAGTTCAAAACTAACCAATAATGGTGATGTTGCACAAAAAGCAAGAGAGACTGTTTCTTGTAAGCTCATTTGTATTAAAATAGAAATATAGAATGAAATGTAGCATATATTAATTTCTAAGGAGAAAATGTTATATTTCCAAATAAAAAAATTGAAGAGTAATATAATTTGAGTATCTTTCAAAGGAGGAAATGAAACGCTTTAAAACTGTATGGCTTTAATATTTTTACATATGTAAATAAGTTATCTATATTTATTCTCAAAAACGATGTTGTTTTGAGTTAACAGATAAAAAAATTATAAAGAAAAAGATTAGTATAACCCTGAAATAAATTATAATTATAAAAATATCTTGATTTTCGTCCCAAAATGACATCGTTTTGGGTTCAATGTAGATAATTTATCTCCATTGGATGCAGACAAAACGAACCCAAAGTATATATACAAAAATTAGTTTTCTTTATTACAAAAGTAATTCAAATTTCTTAAGTAAAAAAAAATTAAGAGTTTAATTTTGATGCAACAGTCATCTAATAATTTATTATTTATATCATTTAAAAAATTGACTACCCGTGTGATGTTAAACTTATTAAATGATAGATTACCAAAAAAAAAAAACTTATTAAATGATATGATAATATATTATTAAATAACATTGTAAAAAAATAATAATGACATTGAAATTTAATTAAAAAGTTAAATGATTTTTTTTTATTTTATATGAAGGAAAACAAGATTATTGAGCAGAGATTGCAACCCTTTACTATTTTCTTGTGAATATGTATGCCGTGCAAACAGATATATTTATGTCTCATGAATCATGACTGTGTTCTCCTGCTTCAATGAAACTGCAATGGTGTCCAGGATCTGCCTTTTTCTTCCTCCCATTGCAACTTGCAAGCATTGAATTGTCATTATATAGAAGGGTCATTTTCTGATAACTCATATCTTCGTCTTTTGGTGGAAGGGAAGATGTTTTCCTCAAAATATTTTGATTAAACCACATATCACAGGAGAGAATATTATATGTGATAATTCATATAGCGATGAATATGTGAATCTTGTGGACTATGTTCATTATTGATAGGAGAATGATTTATTTACAAACTTACAAATTATATTATATATGTCTGATCTTGATTAGAGTATTACCAGATAAACAGTATAATTTATAAAAATTTATAAACAAAAAATTTATAAATATATCATTCTCCTTATTGATATATATGTCATAGTTGAGTGGAAGACGTACCTGATAAACGTCATTTCATTAACGATTTTCTCCTACATTTGTAATTAAAACGAAAGTGATTATAAAAATTATTGAATGTCGTGTCTTGTCAAGTTATTTATTTATTTATTTTAAAAATATATTATATATTAAAAAAATTAAAATTCAACGCTTAACTGGTCCCTTGAGAGTGCCACCATCACCCCCACTCCCTAATAAGAGTCCATTTAGCGGTAACAGCACTGTCGCGGGAGAGTTACATTGACAGGGACACCTACAGGATCTTGTGCTTATTTTTTTCTTGCATATTCATAGACCTAATTAGATAAACGCACTCAAAATGGCTAAGTATGCAATAATATCTCCATTGTTGATGAACAAATTGAATTGGTAAGTTCTAACAAATTAAAGATTTATCATCTATATATAAACTTGTAACTAACAAAAATTAAGTATAATAAATTATTAATTTTGCGCTTCATTTTCCTAAAATA